CCAATTTCTTTAAGTTTTGTTTTTTTCTACCCTATGATGCATGAGGTCTTACTAATGTTTTCTTTCAATATTTTTGGTGTGAAGAAAAGTAGGAATGTTACAGGAAAGTAACCACTTTGTAGTCCAAAACCATGGTCACTAATAGCTCTGCAGTTTACATTGCAATGGATTTAGGGCTCTGGCTGATGTTGGCTGCTTGAAAATCACATCTTTTTCTTTTTGTTTCTGCCTCCTAGTCACGAACTGATGTGAAGCTTTGGGCCATTGACCGAGTTACTTACCGTCGTATATTGATGGGTAGCCAGATCCGTAAGAGAAAAATGTATGAACAGTTCCTGGAGAAAGTCAGTATCCTTGAATCCCTTGATAAATGGGAACGTCTCACAGTGGCTGATGCACTGGAAGCTGTTACTTATGAGGATAATGAAAATGTTGTAGTCCAAGGAGAGCATGGGGATGAATTTTACATCATTGTTGATGTAAGAATTATCTTAAGTATTTACAATACACTGATTTTCTTTTAAGCCACTTGTTTTTTTTATAGTTTAGTCTCAACAACAGTTAGATCAGTCTCTGTTTTTCATTGTGATAGCTCATAGAACTAAATGGAAGACATACCTTTCTTTGTGCAAAAGTCATGACCCAGTAATAAATCAATTATTCATTCACAAGGTGCCAAGAGGAATAATGATACTTATTAAAAAAGAGTGCCTAGGCAAAAAAATAACACAAATGTGAATATGACTATATCTGAAACTTACTGAATGGGTGAATGGGTGAATAACTAAATGAATGATAAAATATGAAATTTGGAGTGAATTATGGTAGTTACAATTCGAGGTATGGCAACAAAAGCTGAAAATCACTTTGTCAATTGATTAGTATAATGTAATTGATTAGTATGATGTAATTACAATGCACTTGCACCTTGAATTTTAATTTTAAGATTTCCAATTGGTAATGAAACAGCACAGAAAAACAACTAGTTAACAGATGAACTTACGGAATGCTCATAAGGCATACAATGTATCAAATGAAAATCACATACTGAACACTCTGCGTTTTGAAGAGAAGGAAACAATTATCTGTAATTTTGTTTCTTTTGTTTTTTTCCTCCAGGGGGTAGCTGTGGTTTTGCAGCGGAGGTCACCAAATGAAGATTATATAGAGGTCAGCCGGCTAGGACAATCAGACTACTTTGGTGAGAGCAGTATTTAATTGAATAATTTAGGAAGTCAAATGTTTAGATTGACAACTGAGCTGATATTTATGATGCACTGATTATTAATTTTTGATTGAGGAGAGGGAGAGAGAGAGAGAGTCAAGAATGATATAATCATGAGATTTGAGGTGTACCATTTGAATAAATCTTGTACTTGGAAGGTTGGAAATTCTAATACAATTTTTTGCTTGGATGCAATGATGCGAGTCCCTTTTAAGTTAGAATGCACATTGTGAGAGGGCTTAACCCTCAAAACCCAAAGATTGACTAGCATCTAATTTCTTTGTACATAATTACTACATAATCAAAGATAGGGATCAAAAGAATGAAGGAAATGCTTGTAGCTTAAGAAGCTCTTGATTATTAAACATGTTCAAGGTATGTAGAGAAGAGTCTGTAGGGTATGGGGGGTAAACAGTTTGCTGGTGCCTATTTTACTTATGGGTTGCAAAATGCATTGCCAGTGCAATGTTTTAGCCCAAGAACACAATGCTGTAACTTGGCCATGGTCAAACTCAGACTTGCTATTTGAGTACTAGCCCACTGTATCTCAGATCATCCTACAATACTTTTTAATTCTTATGTACACATCTTTTTATTGCAGGTGAAATTGCCCTGGTTCTTAATCGTCCACGTGCTGCAACAGTGCGGGCAAAAGGAACCCTTAAATGTGTCAAACTTGACAGGCAGCGCTTTGAACGAGTGCTAGGTCCCTGTATCGACATCCTCAAGAGAAACATCCAGCAGTATAACAGCTTTGTTTCTTTAGTGGTGTAATAGAGTTAGTGGTCAACTACAGATTGTAAAAATGTAGCAGTGTAACAGATAAGATGATTATGTGAGTGGTAAATAAACTAAAATGTGTATACATTAGTCTACTTGCAGGAGGTCATGATACTGCAGTGGTGAGTTTAGATGCAATATATCTTAGCATGGTTAAGTTATTAACATATCTCACCTCAGGCTAATAATATTTTCAGTTGGATACACTGCAAGTCATTGCCAGTCTTGATTACGTTTGCCTGTTGAGGATTTTCAACACCATTCTTCTGTACATTAAAGTTCTGGTTGCTTTAAAAAGTTGGAGCTCTATCAACAGGCAATTTTTAAAATTATCTTTCATCATAGGAAAATTTGCCTTATTAAATTGAAAGGAAGAAAATTTCTGCAAATGTTGATAACAATTTAAAGTTACTCTAGATCAAGCTATAAAAACTTGTGTAATTGTAGTCATTGAAAGGAATAAAATACCTGGACTATGATTTTGAATTTATGGAAAGTGAGTTGAGAACCTTTATCAGTTTGTCTTTTGAAACAGTGTTTTACCTAACCCTTTAACTCCTAAGAGTGATGAGCATATAATTTCTCCTAACGATATGGCCCCTTAGTAATACATCATGGTCACAAGAATGAAGAAAATGATCAGCAACTGAAGAGGCTCTTGATTGTTATATCAATTCTCTTTGTCAGCACCCTAGGAAATGTATAGGGAACAGAGAGGGGAATATGCATATTGATGTTAGGCTGTGAAGGGTTGAGAGTTGCCCATTGTAACAAGATCATATCCTTCTCTTCTCTCGGTTTGATTGTTTTGTGAATGGTGTTAATTTGTAGTTGTATGTGTCAAAACATGAAAAAGAGCTATGTAATTAAATAATTGTAAGGATGACAAATAAACATTGCAGTAAACTCAACACTGTCTCTTATTGTGATTGGAATTGTTGTTGAAATGTCTAGAAATGTAAAAGATGATTTTCTAATATTTTTTTATATGATACCTGTTACATGATTTGAAGCTAAACCTAGGTTATTGTGGATATAGCCTATGTTACATTTTGTTGGGTTAAAATAGTCTTGCTTATTAACGAAATCTTGGAAAGTCATAGGGTAACCGGTCATTTCGTTTCATGTCAGATCGCTTCACGAAAAAGTCAGTTCGATCCACCTATATAATATATATTTTCTTAATGTGTTGATGTGATCTGAGTACAGAGTAGCGATCGGAACATAGACGAAAGTATTTTTAGAACTATTTACATAACAGTGAAAGCGTCGTATGTTATTTTCAGTGTGCACTGCGGAACGATGTGAGAAATTTTCACACAATAGCAAGCGCTCATGTTTGTCGATTTTTGACCACAACGCAGAACAAACGATATTCAACAAAGTACTACGTAGCTTGCGTGTCTGTTAGCGCGCTCGATGTAAAGTGGTTTTAGATTAAAAATCACTCACGAGAGAAACCTGTTCTAGTTTACGCCCGTTTCCGGCGAGTTCGCTACTAACATGCCGAATTTGCTGGCTGTGTTAATTCACAGTTTGAGCTTGTTTTTATCCATAACCCTCGATCTACCAGGTCATATTCCAGGCCTATCACTCCATGGAATTTGAATGTTAGTTCCGGAAAGTTTAGGAGTTACTTTGACACAGACTTCTCAATTGTCAGCTGTGAATAGCAATATAACTCCTAGAAAAACCTAATGGAAAGTCATGAAGTTAGAAAGAATATCTGGGCATTTAAGGCTAGTCATACAATCGAAACCCTGTTCTTGTATGACAAAATGATGTAATAAACATGCAGGTAAGAAATAATATTTCAAATAACTTTCCTTTCGCTGGTAAGGCAGCTAATATTCGCACGAAAAGCTGATGATCTAAGTGCTTAGAGGCCATAAAAAAAGGACCAGTAAACGGAAAAAACTTTTGTATTATAAAGAAGAAATATTGATGTAATTGAATGACGAATAGGTTACATAGCAATTAACAACACGATCAAATGAGGTTACTGATTTCAACGGTATTATCAATGGTAGTCTTTCCGGCTCCTCAATTTCTCTCTACAATGTCCTTCCATTCCTTTGACAAATCGGGTGTCGAATGTAGCCGAGTAATAATTACTTAGCTCTATGAGGAAGGGAAATGAACGCAACGCAATCAAAGTAGTTTAAGAAGTCCTACCAAATGTGGTTCGATGCTTGTCTAAATATGGACAAAGGACATGCGCTTTAGATTGTTTAGGCGTCATACCGAAGAAGAGGGAACTTTGAATTTGATTCACTTCAGTACTAACAGGCTTCGCAAGAAATCTGTTGCACATTGCGTACGGAAAAGTAAGAAAGGACTCTCTGTAAACATCACACATGTGCGATAAACAACAGCAAGAATCAGAAACGGATCGCATTAATGTGATATTTCTGTGCGATGAATGGAGATCATCTCGCGGTGGCATATCCACTTTTAACCGAGAGTTCGCCATTTATGTCGCCAAATTTTGGAGTTCTATCGTCAATGTTTATTGCTACGTACCCGAAAGCAGTGATCAGGACAGAGAGGATGCACGAAACAACAACGTCAATTTGGTAACTGCGGAAAGAGTCCCCGGATCCACGGACCCAGTGGATCGCTTGAAAATTCCTCCGTCAGGAGTTCGAGTTGATGTTGTGGTTAGCCATGGACGGAAATTCGGAGTGGCTGCTTATTTCATAGCGCACTCCACCAGGTGTAAGTGGATCCAGTGCGTACACGTAGATTGTGAAGATCTTGGTAAACATAAAAAGGAAGCAGAGGGGGTAAAAGACACAATAGAAGATAACGAGAACAAGCACGAGAGCGAATTGGAACTATGCAAAGCAGCACACATGGTCATTTGCGTTGGTAGAATGCTCCGTGAAAAGTACGCATCTCTTCTACCCGAAATAAATGTTGAATTCCTAACACCAGGAATTTTCGAACATTTTAGCCCCTCTAAGTGTTACTCTCTTCGCGAAAATTCGGCTAACTTGAAAGAATTCAAGGTCTTCGTCTTCGGACGATTACAGATCGAAGATCTTAAAGTAAAAGGCCTCGATATCATTGGTAAAGCAGTGGCGTCGTTGGAAATGAAATTCAAATTGATTTGCGTGGGCTCTCCAGCGGGTAAACAAAAAAAACTTCAGAAATGGTTTCGCAAGAAACAGATAATCACCCGCGAAAAACTGACAATCCGTCGTTATCGAGACCACGACGAAGTTATAGAAATGTTCAAAGAGGCGGATTTAGTGGTTTTGCCCTCTCGCGTTGAGGGGTTCGGTTTGATCGCCCTAGAGGCGATTTCTGCCGGCATACCGGTTCTCGTATCAAGTCAGGCCGGCATTTCCGAACCACTTCGGGAGGTGGACGGTGGATGTGACGTAATTGTGGAACGAAATAGGCCAGAAGAGTGGGCAAGGAGAATTAACGAGTTCTCCTCCCAAACCACTCAAGAGAGATATGGAAAGGCTCTTTGCCTTCGGGAGAATTACCAGCAAATTTATTCCTGGCAGAAAGAGACAGAAAAATTCATAAATCTGGTCAAGCATGTTCTTGGTGGTGGTATGTGGATACCAGTTACTCGACCATTGCTTCACCTCATTCAAAAGTTTTCCCAAAGTGTATCAATTTTCGTTCGAGTTGTAACTCACTCTAGTCATTGGTTCAATTTTTCGATGACGATGCAGACAGAAAATTATTAAGGTTTAGACTGGCAAACATTTTATTTTATTTAGTCTTGTAGGGATAAAATTTAAGGTGAAAAGAAAATTTCACTGAAAGAAAATATGATGAACACCTAACAGTTTGTTTTTGTTTTTGTTTAAAATTGCAATATATCGAATATTATGCTTTGTGTAACGGGAAATGAAATAAAGCGACTCTAATTTTGATTATTTATCTATTTCAAAAGGCGACAGCGTGTCAGACAAGGAGAATGCCGGGGTCGAAAAACTTGTGATAAAATCAAAGAAGGTTTCCTCTGGAAATCAACTAGACCGAACACCGCTGGGAGAGGTGCCAAACATAAAGCGGAAACATGAGAAAGAAACTGGGCAAAGCCCAGATCAAGTCCCCAAAGCAGCGAAGAGGCTCCGATCCAGGAAGGCTGTGTGTACCCTTTGCCCTAGCATCATCAAAGAAAAGCAACCAGCCTGGTGTGATACAGGAGAAGAGCCCGTGCAAGTAAAAAATAAATAAATAAACAAACACAAACAGGTCCATTGATCAACGTGGAATATGATCCTAACCTTATTCTGATCCTTTGACTGACCCTAAAATGATCATTTGTTTTCTGTCATCAGACCATCTCTTGATGAAAGATCCTGTCCCCTTTTCAATTAAAGAAAAATGTTGCATATAATTTTACATTGGTGATTTTTATCCCGAGGCATCATCCTTGAATTAATGGATGCAGTAAGGCTGCAATATAATCCACAAGATGGGTTCAAATTTTTGGGTTGTTCCTGCACAGTTGCTGGGACCATAGCAAAATCATAATTGCAGTTTTTTCGTTTTCACAAAAATTGGTTTTAGCTTCATTTAAAGATATAATTCCTAGCCATATTTAATGCAGAATCAATATTTTATTAACATTAAAGATGAAAGTAATTCTCATAGATTAATATACTTCATGTTATGAATTCCAACATTTTGTTACTCTATGAACTACAGAAGTGCACAACTGTGTTTCACCTCCCCCTTCATATTTTCAGACCTTATTGAGACATTTCCACCATAACCATAATTGTAGTTTAAGAATGAATAAAGTTCCTCAGCTAAATGAGAATCCTCGTGAATATTTTTTTTATCAATACCATGTTGTTAATCATAAGCTGTTTCTTTGTTCAAATTGGAAAAAAATACTCATTAGTCTTCACAAACAAAGCTTAAATTTTTATGTTTCCCCTGAAATGTGAGGTGCAAGGGATTTTCATCGACTAATCATTTCTTAACGTTAGACCAAATTCTGGTGGCATTTATGTATTCTTGGGTATTTTCTTATTATTCACCACTAACAATTCCTCTACGGATATCAAAGGGGAATGGGGTGCCATTACAATTCTCTAAGGGTGCTTGCTGGTGAATAACAACTGAAAATAGTCATCTTTGAGACAGCCAATCCGTAAGCATGGAAAGCTTTATTCACTTCTTTAGTATATGATATATTTACAATCATATCATCACAATTCAGAAATACCACAAAAACTTAAATTTCTGTATGGTTCTTAAAAGGACCCATAATGGACCTCAACTAAGAAAACTGATTTTTTTTAAAAAGAATGATTACATGCCATAAAAAGGCTATTTTTTTTTTTCTCTCTCTCTCAGAAAACATGAGTGTTACACATTAAAACTCAGTTACCTTGAGGGGGAAAGACTTCCCCCACCTGCATGTCAAATGGGTGCTGTTTTCTAATCTTAGTACTCTACTTTTACTTACTTTTTGCAGTTATAATTTATAGTAAAGTTAGCTAGATGGTAGCTAGTAATAGTTTACATTAAAAGGTATTGGAGAGAATGATGGAAAGGGATATCAGGGCTTCCCTACAAGCTATCACAGAGTCTACCAATTATTCTGTAATTCATAAAGTACCCCACCCACTGATGATGAACTAATGATCAAAAATTTTTTTCCATTATTTATATTATTACTACTATTTAAGCCATTTGAATTTCCAAAAGAGCTTACATCAACCTCAAAAAGTAGTAAGATAATAAGAATTGATTATGGAAGTGTCTACTCTAGGTAACCAGGCTAGAAGTAAACATGCAAACATAATTCCTATAACAATGTTAACTATGTGGTAAAGGAGACGTGAGGGACGCCTGTGTCTTCCATGGCCATTTTTTTTAAAATGTTCAATCACTCCTTCAAGGGAATATTTCTGAGGACTGTAACCAAGATGACTGCAAGCTTTCTTCATACTAAAGTAATGAGTGACTGCTGTCTTGTAAACCTGTGCCAAAAGAAGAAAAGAGAATTTTTTTTTTGGTTAAAACTTTTGAAGTGATCAGCATTTCATTTCTCCCCATGCCATCAGCACACTGTCATCAGCAATGGTCAGGAGAACCAAGGAACTCATCTTAAAAAAGGAAATTGAACTGATCTTTAACAAACCTTTACACTAATTGAGGAAAGAAAATGTATGAAAACTAGCAAGGTGAAGTCATATGTTGATGGGTTTAAAGAGCTGAAAAGTCACTGGAAAGTCACTCATGTTTTGGTGTTACTCCACCCTTACACTCCCCAGATCCGACCCAGAGTTTCCTACATTCTACTTACCCGATATATTTTCTTGGAAAGAGAGAAAGATTTTAGTGTCAAGTCTAGATAACAACCTGATGAGCTGAAGTGTTTGTCTAACCTCATCATACCTTTACTGAATAATGCTTTGACACAATTTCCCACTTGATTGTTAAGATGGCATACAAACATTGCTACTTATTTCCCTATTTTCATGTAGTTTCCCATTTCTACACAAGTTTATGGTTATGTGAGTTTGCTGGTGAATAGTACCTCTGTTCTTGTGAGGAGCGGCTGAAAGTTATAAATATATCTTCCAATCACTGAGTGAACCAGTTCTGTTAAAAATGCTACAAACAGAAAATCTCTCTATTAGATTTAAACTTATTTAAAGGAGTTTGTGTTCTCTGACTGCCTCATAAAATCATTGATCAATCATAATCCAACTTTATACTCTTTAATTAATCTCAGTAGATAAAAGTAGTGAACAATATGCTAGTTTTGCAGAGCTAACTGGCATATAATGGAAATTGGGCCACTTGAAATCCAATTTGGTCTGCATGCAATCACAAGCCTTAGGTCAGTACTGAAACAAGAAAAACTGCCAGCTAGAACCCCACTTTGTCATTCACAAACAGAGTGATTGAAATACTCAGATGATTAAATATCCTCTTACCAAATAATATAAATACAAACTACCAGGGACTTAAGAAAAACTGAAAATAACTGTAGGTCATACACATCAAAAAATCATCATATGATAACTTGACAACATCATAAATAAATGAATTATTAAATTAGTATTAATTAATTAAATAAGCTTAAGTGGACAGATTAATGCACTGAACAACAAAACAAAGGATAGAAGAAAGATCATAGAAAACAAAAAATGTGAGTATTTATCTTATTAATAAGAATCTAGACATTAATAACTGAGAGGTCCATAAATAAAAATATTAAATAAATTTAACTTACCAACCATATATACAAGAGTTATTGGCAACTTCAATTTGGGAAATTTGTATCCCAAACCTTCAACCTATTTGAAAAATTGTTAAAAAACATTTAACTCAGAAAATAGAAAATGTCAAATAGTGATGATTCCAAGAGACAGTTTAGGACCTGAGGCATAAATTTTTTCTCTAGAATTAGGCCATCTTTCCTAATTTTAATTTCTTTTCCTTAATATTTCTTTGATCTGTTTGACTAAGACAAAGGAGAGAGGATAAATGAAAATGAAAGAGAGGAAAAGGAAATTTTACCAAATCTTAAATCTGAATTCCAAACTTTAACCTACTCAGACAGGTAAAGGAGAAAGACAAAACTATAAGGCAGGAAGAGAATGGGCTTACACTGCTTAATATGTAATATGTTTTAAGGTTCAATAACTACAATACTTCTTCATCAAGGAATAATTTTATAGATATTCACTTAGAGAAAATTTGACTTACCAAAGGTCTGAAGAACTCAAAATTGTTTACGGGGGAGTCATCTGAAATAAAATATGCTTCACCAGCCTGAAATATAACCCAATAAAAAAAGTAAGAATGGTCCATCAAATATTAAAATAATAAAAATATATTTTAGGAAATTAATTGTATGAAAAACATGCCACCAAAATTATCCTTAAACTTCAACTCTTGGTTCTTTGACATCAATAATTCTGTTGTTACATAATTTATGTATTCCTTACTTACAGCTATGGAATCTGCCTCCATGAGAGTTTTTCCTGCCAAAATGTGAGCTTGAACCAAATTATTTACATGAACAAAGTCGACAATAGAGTCATCTTGACCATAAGTGAAGGCAAAAAGGCCTCTCTCAATATATGACTGAAAACAGACAAATACAAAAGATGTGAATCTCATCAGGGCTGAAGATCAAGCTCTGGTGCAAGTTGACTGACAGCACCCTTGGTGTCAGAGGATGAAAAGTTAAAAGAATAAAGAAACAGTCAATTAAGGGATTATTAGTTGATCCAAAACCAAGCTCCTTGAAGTAACATCATAGCATTTGAAAGGCAGACAGTAGAGACAATTACTCAATAATGAGATCTTAGGAGTAAAAGGATTACAGACTTGAAGAAAACTTGTATAACAACAGCAACAAGTGTGAACAAAAGATTTTACATTGAGCAGATTAATAGCTCTGCATAAATATCTGCATTCAAAACTATGTACACTTCCTAACTGTTGTCTGCAAACAAAAAAGTGAAATCAACATAGTTTGTGCTGTCTTGGAACCTCAATGGAAAATTTTTCACAATTTCATCGAGCCTACCCCTACATACACTCTGCTGTAATTCAACGAAGTCTGGCACCATTAAAGACAGTTAACACATCATGTTATTTACAAAATGTTGGAGGTTCATTTTATTATCTAGCTATGTTTTCCTAAGCATCAACACTGTGACAACTCACACTCCCTTTCATTTTAAGATTTATTGTTGCAGATCAATTAACTTTCACAAGTACCGCTCTATCCACACAGGAAGGGTGCCCCTATTGACAAATTGCTGGGATTACATTGCACACCATTTTACCTTGGAAGTAGCAGTTCTTTTCAAATCATTGAATTTACACACACTAAGAAAATCTCCAGCACTATGGGCCACTTAAAGCTTTATTTTGCAAAAATGTATCAGTAATAATATTCTAGAGCCAAGGAAAATAAAATAGAATTTACATTAAGCTTACCATAATTCTGGGTAAACGTCTCAATTCTCCTTCTCCGTAGATACCAGCTGGTCTTAAAGCACAGGTCTTGAGAATTTTCCCATCTGTCAATGATTTCCAGGCAATGAAATGAATTACAAGTGGGTTCACTATTTTTTAGATGAATTTTGGTATTTACCAGACAGCAAGCCAAGTTTTTTTGGTGTAAAAGACTTACAATCACGTTTCCTTCAGTTTAATAAGAGGAATGTGTTAGTCAAAATTGTAATTTGGACTAAAAGTGATGGATGTTTTTTAAAAGGTTGGTATATTTTTCAATCACTCCTGTTAAAAAAAACAAACAAACAAAACAAAAACAAAAAACATGGAAGGCTGCAGCTTGAACTTATCTTAATTAAGAAAATCCTTATTACCTTTAGTTAATATTTCTTCTAAATGACAGCTTTACTTTGTAATACAATTCATTACATACAAGACTACTACAACTAAATATACATTGACTTTCAGGAAAAAGTTACAGCATAAACTAGCAACATTACAAAAAACAGAAAATTCCTGTGTGGTTCTGGGTACGAAATTACAATGTTGCTATGGAAGAGGGGAATTATTATGGTTTAAAAGTAAAAAATAAACCTCAACAAACAGTCACCAGACAAACTGAAGATAAACTTTAACTTATCTGTTCTACATTCCATTTAATGCCTAGGTTCTTTTTTTTAACTTTTTGAAACCCTTATTTTTATGTTAAGTATGCAAATTACAAAACTTATTGTTTCATCTGAGGCCGCATCATTTCATTGCCATAAAACATTTGAATTAATATAGCAACATGTGAAAAAAATAGGTACTTAATAACAGTCCACGAGATGTGGACACAATTCCATGCATTTTGTTTCCCAGAGGCACCCAAAACTGTAAAGTTGATGCTCTCAGAATGCAAGACCAACTCTCAATCTCAGGTCACCTACAGCAGCTATAAAGTGCTCAGGAAGAGAAGTCCCATGGGAAACTTATAAGGGAATTCTTAATAAACATTTTACACTTCATGGTAATTATCTTTACAATATACCTCAATATCTGTATCATATAAAAAACTAAGCTGCTCTGAATTTATCTCTAAAAATCCAGGCAAATGTTTACTAGAAATCAAAGGATGTTTTACTCAATAAGGCAATGTTGATATAAAAATCTCACCTTTTAATAGTAAACCATTAGCATTCAAAACAGTTTGCTCTGCTATGGACTTTGTTCTGGAATAATGGTCAGGATGCTGACAAAAGTCAAAAGAGAAAATTTCTCATACCTGACCAAAAGTATAACTTATTAATCCATGACTACTTTTTCCCCCCACTCGCAGCAAAAATTGATATTGAAAGAAAATTATCAACTTCCAGTTTTCTCTCTACACAAAATTTTCTATTTTATTTTTGTATGCCTTTTTTTTTGTCACAATTTACCAACCTCATACATCTTTATTCAGAACTTCTTCAGTAATCTCAAGAAGTACATGGAACATACTTGCAACATTTTTGGAAATTGGATAACTTAGATAAAGGAGTTGAAACTCTACTTAAAAGAGATCTCTCACATGTTAGCATGTGTATCATGTAAATGGACCATCAAAATCATGCATGTGTATCATGTAAATGGACTGTCAAAATAGGAATAAGCAGACTTTGAATTTTTGCACAAAAATTAGTTGTCTTTAAAGCAAAGTTGCATACTCCAGAGTTTTCTTTCTGGTTTGGTTCATGTTTCTTTATACCAAATGGACTACTATATGTATATGTGAATGTTTCAAGCTTAACTCAAGAGACAACAAATACATTATAGAATAATTACCTTTTCTAGAGGTAAATATGGCAAAGTCTCATCTCCATTTCTGATAACCTGTCCTCCAAACACCACATTATATGTACTTGTATAGACGAGATGAGCCACATTATGCTGACGACAGGCTTGAAAGAATGATTAAACAATTTCATTAAGAATGGTTTTGTTTGTTTTAGGAGAATCAAAGAATAATTCAAAATCAAAAAAATTTGTTAGTAAACTTAAATTCCAGGCCAAGTTTTACATGCTACTGAATTTACAGACCTTCAATGACATTTTTTGTTCCTAGAATATTGACCTTCTCTATTTGTTCTCTACGTAACTGAAAATAACATAAATTTAAAATAAATCACAGATCCCATATCTTTCCTTCATTTTATCTTGATCGACTGTCTTTCATGATAAAATACAGCCAGATTCCACAAGAGCCTGAGTTGCAAACACATCACCAGTTAAAGAGTGGAAGTCCCATTCCAGTTCCAGATGATTTCTACCATGGCCATCTCAATGTGGACCATGCCCAAGAACAGTCCAACTGAGAAACACCCTTTAATCCCTTAACATGACTAGCATCTAATTTCTCCTAACAGTATCCCCCCTGAGTCAAACAATAGGATCATTAGAATAAAGGAAATGATCACCAGATTACAAATACTTTGATTGTTAAACAGATTCTCTTTGTCAGTACCATGGGATATGTATAGGGAACAGTATGGAGAATATGGATACCGATATCAACAGGATTTAAGGTGAAGGACACCTTGCTACCCAATGAACAATCATGTTGCAGCTTATTCCAGTTAAGGAGCAAAGGTAACAAGCAGTATTGGTACATCCACTGCACAGGATTTCAGTCTAAAAGAATCAGTTTTTACTCAGTTGGACTAGAAAAAGACAGAGCAGACAAAGCAGACAGAGTAGACAGAGCAGACAGAGAAACATTTATCTCTAAATTGTGACATTTGAAACAAGCACAGAGACAGAGCTCTGCACATCTTTGAATCCACAACCCGGAGGCAAATGTATTTTTGTCTGGCCCTACCATTCACTCAATAAGTACAACATACTAACTTGCTCTCTTCCAGACATTCCATATGATGCACTATGAAAAACCACATCAATCTGATGACTGATAAATATCTTTCTTACATCTTCTTTACTTGTTATATCCCCCTAAAACATAAATATGAATCTTATGACATAAAAGGAGACTTAACTTTATCATTAGATTTTAAAAAAAATTCACTTAATTCCTGATATCACATTATCATTCGTAAGGTGAAGTGGAAATTATATGAGAATTCTAGAATGGCGGGTGTCCAATGTTTAGAAAAGACTTCCCACCACCGGGTGTCTGACACAGCAAATTCAAATAACTTCCATGCATTTTCCCCATGGTAAAATTTAATATTTTCTTCTGTCCGTAGCACAAAGGCAGGATCCGAATGGAGTTGTTTTGGCAAAATAATCAAAGTGAATTACGTAATTTACCGATCAAGTCTCTACCTGAAAACACTCCATTTGCTTGTACACAACATCATCCAACGGCCACGAGATGTCAAACAATACAACCACTGCTCC